CATTGGTGGGAGCGGCGGTCGGAGCATCCGTTGGAGCATCGGTGGGAGCATCGGTAGGCGCGTCCGTGGGTGCGTTGGTCGGGGCATTCGTGGGTTCGTCGGTGGGAGCATCCGTGGGTGCTACGGTCGAAGCATCGGTCGGAGCATCAGTAGGCGCGCCCGTGGGAGCGTCTGTGGGAGCATTTGTCGGTACGTCATCATCGGAGAAATCCGAGTCGTCGTCGTCGTCGTGAGCATGCCCGTTGCCAGCATTTTTGGTTTTGAGTTTCTTTTCGCGGAACAACTTGAACAAAGCGTTCTTCATCGGAGTTGTCTTGTCTTTCGTCGGCTCGGTGGATGGCACTTGGTTGGTCTCGACGCTGTTGCCAGTCGTGGCTTGCTCCTGCGAGTTGTTGTTTTCCTTGTCGATAACTTGTCCATGATGGGCGTGGTGGCGGTGGCCGCGGCTATCACTCCGAAGGTGGCGCTTCTCCCAGTGCTCGATTTCGGCGATCCTGTAGTGCTCCAGACGAGCCACGTTGTTTGAATCTAGTTGGTAGATAGATATAAGTTGCAGTGATCGTATACAGGCACTCTAGCGTACGCTGGGCGGCACCGAGCGACTCGTGCAAGACGACGCACAAGGCAGCGAGGGTCAACGGGTGGTGAATGCGCATGGTCAAGCAAATGGATTTTGAATTGTGAGAGGCACGAGGAGCGCAGGTGCGGGACGTTTCAAACCCAGGACGTGCTTGCGAGGACCTATTTTGGGGGGTACACGGGCCAATCATAGGTACATGATGCAGAAAGCCGCCATTAAAGATAGGCATCTTGCATGTCAGCATAAACGGCACAGGACGAGAGCAATTTCGATACGAGAGGCGCCGCCACGAAAATAGACACCAATCCGGCGACTAGCATCTAAATCGAGCGCAGAACGGCAGAGGTCGTCGACAAATAAGCATGGCGCTTCGATATGCCCCGCTGGAAATCAACGAAGTCAGGTCACCACGGGTCGGTCAGGTATCGAAGTGAACACGAACAGAAAGGTGCTCCGAGCGACGGTGTGCACACGAGGCGAAGACGCCCATCGACTAGCTGCCAAGACCGGCGAGCTCATATCTGTCTCTCTCAATTCGTCGCACCGACAACGACACTCGAACGTAATTTACACTATTGTGCCATCGATGCTTGTACCTTTAAAGCCCGCTAACAAAACATGCCTTCAGTCGAGGCGACTGGTTCCGTAACCACGTACTGCGTTATTTGAACTCGAGTCCATACGGCGCATGGGCACGAACGCCAGGCAAGAGTCATGCATTTAGTCTCAGTATTTGTGCCAATGGTGGCGATCGCAATCTGTGTCGTGGCTTGTCTTGAGACAGGCGTCCGCACCAAACTCAAGACTTTTGCACGCTGCTCCATTCAAACATTTTGGATCGCCATCGAATCGTAAAAGATCGCCACAATATCTTTATCCGGATCCGGATTGAGGTCACAGAGTTTTGTGAGACTCTGACAACTTTCGCCTCTAGGACGTTGTCGTTGCCTTGCAGTGCGACTCGCAGCTCGTCTCCTCTATCTCGGGGGCAGTCTTCTTGTCGCCTCTTGTTCCGGCCCGCTCTGTGGCATACACTAGGGAGATGGGCAGCCACCCGTCGATGACCGTCGGGCTTGCTAGCTTACAAGCACAAGTCCACAAATATATAGGCACCCTCGCTGGTTTCATGTTCCTTTCGCCCAATCCACAGCTTGTGGCACTTGGCGCCGACGGCCTCCGAACGCGACTTCAATGACCGATGTTCAAAGTACTCTCCAGCCCATCGGACTTTGTGTGCTGGTATCGGTAGTGACAGCAGCGTCGTTATCAGTTGCCACTGCCCTTTAGAAGATTCCTTGCCAATCCACATACAACACACTTGCACTTGGTTCCGCACACAGCCTCTTCTCTTTTCATAAACACCATGCAGACTGCGTGCGGACACGGTGAGTTCTGCAAAATCGATCGTCGGACTTGTCGTTGCTTGATGCACACGGTGGCTACCTGCCGTAGGACCACTTTGCTTCGGGAGCGTCTTCTGGAGCTTAGCAGCGCAAACTCGTCGAGGGCGGAGCGCAGCCGACATTGTCGCATCGGCGGCTTGCATTCGCTTTCTCGCCTCGTTGTAGACGTCCGCGATGCTGCGCGGTCGCTGGTCTGCTGCCGGTAGCATATTATGGCTTGTAGCTACAGCACAACGATCAAGGGAGCCCAAAACCGAAGCGACGAACGTACAATCAATCGCATGCGGGTCGTGAGCGAGCGTCACGAGACACATGGCGCAGAGGAGACCGAGCGGTGGCACGAGCATGTTTCTGGCAGTGCCGCTTTGCGACTTTTTGTTTTTGAGCAGAAATAGCCCCTCACTAAAGTGGGCTACCGGTATTTCTGTTTGATGCCACACCGGATCTAGAATGGAGGAGTTAAAACCGTCAATCATGGTATCCGGGGATATGGGAGTGGTCCTAAAGTGGATGATGAATGAATTCTTGAATGGGTTCTATAGCAGTGGAATGCGACGCGTCTGAACCTGCCGCCCAACAATGACGCTGCCGCGTCCAAGGGCCAAAAATGCTTTCGATCAATCCTTGCCACGCCATCTCGATCTGTCACAAACGCGTCCAACCAGGGGCGCGCCATAATCGACTTGCTACTCCAGCACCATGGTAGCTATTAGATACCATGGTGCTGAAGTGCACGTGCCCAAAATCTATCCACTGTGAGCTTGCGCCCATTCACAATCTATCGGTATATACCTCTTGAAAGCGAATGCACGTTTTTCAATAAATTGAAATCAATTACTTGTGCGTACTACCGGTAAAGTAAGTCGTCATTACCATCGTGTGTTTCGCACAAGCGTACGAAACGGACAGCAACTAATCGAATGTCGGGACAACCTGGGCGTCCGTGGGAGCATCGGTCGGGGCATTCGGTACCGGAAGGCGCGTTGGTAGGTGCTTCG